CTCGTCTCGTCCGTTCTGTTCTGTTCTGTTCTGTTCTGTTGTTTTGTTTTCTTATGTTTTGTTCTGTTTTGTTTTATATTATTTTATTTTGTTTATTTATTATTAGGAAGATTTACAGCGAATTTTTAACAATGAATAAACGTTGAGTAAAATTTGAAAATGCTAATTACAACTCTCCACCTAAATACAATAGTATCAATAGGAAATGTGTATAAAGAAAACCCACTGTAAAAGTAGTGCTATTACTTACTCTGTGGCGATGGTGTATGTTTCACCATAGTTCTTTTATTTTGTTTGCATAAAGATGGTTTGTTGTAAAATCACTGTAGTATTCTATAGTCTGCGGCAATATGGGTCGCGAGCCAATCGTGTCGCAGGGCCGCTTCCGGGAATCCATCCGCTATGCAGTTTATGACACTAGTTTGACACAGTGACAATTGCGTTATTTTCACTAAACTATTTTTACAATCGATATACATATATCTTCGGTATACAGTAAGAGTTAGTTAAACTTTGGAAGAGGATTTCCACTCGACGATTTCGTCGATATCCTGTAAAAACTATAACATATACATAATAAATACCGAAATCAATAACCATTTACCGAAATAAACAAATGTAGTCGATTGATTTGCAGCCTGCAATTCTCTCTTAATAACGGTCAACCAAGGGTGGTGTACCCTACACGGCATAGTAGACTTGCCAACTTATTTGCTATATGAAAGGGAACTATATCCCTTTGAGAGCGGTTACTCACGCGACTTTTAGCAGCGATACAAACGCGATACAGTAGCGATGCAATCGCTAATCGTCTACCTTTACACACGCGCGCGGTTTTAAGCAGCAATGCAAACGCGATGCAGGCGCGCGACTGCATCGATGCAATCGCGCGTTTCGCCTATAAATCGCAAGTGCAATCGCATGTTTCATGAAGGCGCGAACTCTTATGTGAAATGAACAATCGTTACCAGAACTCTTTATCACGAATAAGTAAATTGATATATATGTAGGCCAATTGCATAATGACTGCATACATGCCATCACGCCTGTCTCCCACTGGGTAGGCAAAGCTATAGTTGAGACATCGAGTAATGGGTTGAGACCATAGAGGTTCATGAATCATTTGCTACGCTCCTGAGAACCTAACTCGCATCAGCTTATTCAACACATGCCCGGGCATCCCGAATTTGCTAGACCAATTACCTGGTCTCAAACGAGGAAATTTCCTGTACTATGAGTACCAGAGCAAAGGAACTCACTCCGGAGCACTGTTCATAACACCTAGACAAGAACCAATTTAGAAAAGTTCATTTCCCAAATTGGTCCTACCGGGAATCGAACCCGAGACTTCTTCAAATTACTTAATGACATTTAATGTATCTAATTTTATTATTAAATTAATATTTCAATTGTGAGTGTATGCACAAATCTTTGCATGTAGTTATGTAATACATTACGTTAATAATGAATTACTTAGCCCAAGATATTTTGTAATAGTGACATGCTAAATGTTACGGGCTTGTGACGTGCCAAATAAAGTTTTTGAATTTTGCATCTTCGTCCAATGTCTACAGTGCAAACCGTTTGGCCACTGAGGTCCATCCAAATTCGCTCTATAAACTTTATTTTAACTGAGTGCCCCAGTGAGCATAAATAGCATTAGTGTGCCCCAAAAGGTGTGTCGAAATTGAAACGAAAACTGCTAATTTTATTTAGGATTACTTACAAAAATTGATTTAAAAAATTTTCACATTGTTGCAGACGCGGCTGTAGTGCTAAGGCAGATGTTGCGCGCGCGCCGCCGCGGTAGAGAGGAGCGCGAGCGGCCTGCGGGCGTCGCGGCTACCCCGCGCGCGGTCTAACACACCCTTGACACTGCACTATATAAGGTAAGAGTTCATTGCCAAGCACAGGTAGATGGACGGGGTTATGAATGCGAGTTGTAACCGTAGTAAAGACCTGTGTTGCTTATACCACGGACCAAAGACTCAAGAGGACTGCTAATCTCCAGATTGTAACTCTCAAAAAGGTCAAAATTCCGTCTTTTAAGCCACGGAACGAACCAGCCAGTAGCGGATTTGCAGCCTTGGCCGCCCTAGGCCCCAGGACATGTAGCTAGTACCAGCCGCCCCTTTCTCAGCACACGTCATATACTGGTAGACTACATAATGAATATACTTTTGCCGACTTTTATCGAAATCGATTCAGAAATTTACTTAACTATAATACCTGCTAGTTTTTAATATATCCGGAGGTTTCAGATTTAAATGAAACATTTAAAACGGTTTTATTTATTTGACTATGGGTTCAATCGTTCAGTGATTATACATTACATTACAGATATGTAACATATCTATATTTTATACATGAAATGTACGAAAGTGGTTTAGAAAGATTATTGTTATACGATGCGGTGCAGTGCGACCCGCCGCATATTTAGGTACTTTGAGTTATTTCTTGTTATTATCAGTGCATTTTTTGTCAAGATTGGCCGCCCCTAAAATTTTGGGCCGCCCTAGGCCTTACAGCCTTACTGGGCCTTACGGCAAATCCGCCACTGGAACCAGTGGACCTCACGAATCTTTCTATGTGTTTGTTGTTGAATCTTCGTGTTTGTTCGACCTTTGTATTAATAATTATAACAAACTAGTGTAGTAATTTCACAAAAAATAATTGAATCGCAATTCAATAAAAATTTGATTAAAAGTTAATAGCGACATCTCTAGCCAGGGCTGGCAACTGTAAAGGTCTAACTGGGTGACGAAATACTTTCATAGATTTCTCATAGGTGGCGCTACGGCTAAAAAGTCGTTGAAAACCAAATACAAAGATTCAACTACAAGTACATAGAAAGATTCGTGAGATCCGCTGGTTCGTTCCGAGGCTTAGTTGGCACATCGTCTGCCAGTTTGCTAGGATTCCGTCTTATATCTATATGGCGCCAATATGCCGTGAATATCAATTAATTCCTCTTTAAAAAAAGAAATGACTCTTTTTTCCTTGTAATATTCAAATATTGATCATGAACTAAAATTATTTTCTGAACTTTGACAAATAGATGGAATTGCGTGTTACAAACTCCTAAGGCTAATTCTAAACAAAATAATTGCCGGCACTGTCCATTAAAATCTGTGCAATAAGCGCCATCTAGTTGATTTGTTTGTTATCACTATAAATTAGAGCAGCTTTGATAAAATTTCAGCTTGTCACCGTAAAACAAATAGTTACAAAAATACATTGATAAAAAATAGAACTATTTGGTATTCGTCGCGACATCTAGTGTACCAACAGGTACTAAATACCCGACTACGCTGTCTTGTATTACGTACGTTGTAGTACGCGATTGAGTTAATTGGTCCATGCTTGAACTTAGACACTGCTACTACAACGCCAGATAAGTAAGATTTTAAAATTTTGAAGCAGCCTTTTTTCAATTGACCACATAAACTACATAAGCTTTATTGATGAACACAAACAAAAAAGTTACTTAAAATATTTTACTTGGCCTTAATAGTTGGCCGTAGCAAGTTGCAATTAGCTTCTAAAAGCGTCCAATTAAAACTACATCCTAAGAATCTTGAATAAATTCACTATAACCCATAATAATATTCGCTATAACTATCAGAAACGTGGACTACTATTCAAGTTGTGTAGTTGTAAGTATTTAACTACACAGCTACCCGTGTATAGTCGCTAATTAAACGACCGTGAAAAAATGAGATTTCGTCGCCTTTACTTTCTCAAACTCGTATTTTAAAGCACAAAGTTACCGAAATGCAAAAAATGATTGTATATAAATTTTTTGCATTCTTTTTTTTTCTATTTAAAACGGATATTTGACCATTTGTCACTTAACCGCGTTTTAGTTAGTATACACATATCATCCAAATTCACACACTGGCTTTTACCTGTTCTTAAAGTATTAGTATAGTAATTAACCCCTTTGATAAGAAATTTAAAATAAATAGAAAGTTTTGCCATCTCCTGAATAAGCACTCTTTATAAAATACGAGTTTGGAAAAGTAAGGCAAGGATTTGTTTTAATAAATAACGTAAGAAAGATTGGATCAAAAATACTTAGAATAAGCGAATGTGTATGAAATAACAGATACCAATGCGATTCTCTGGCTACCCGTATGTTATCTTTGAACACAGGTTATTATTGCCTTTTTTTTCACGTAGTCATTTCTAAATCCATATCGGGGAAACTACACGGCAATCTAAATACGACGTAGATTATTGATTTGCCTTTCACTTTGAGTTCATCGTTTTCAGATAAACATACGAGAAGTAGGTACGTGATACGTGATAGTATGTATGTTGCAAAGTCGTGACCGATGAATTCCGTTAAAACATTTCTAAAGCTTTTTTAACCATTCGTTGGGCCCTGTGCTCGCTTGCAAGATTAATATTTTAGCACGTGCGTACTTGTGCAGTGAAGTAGGTCTGAATGATATCTTCTCTTTCATTTAGGTCGCAGATTAACTTTTTGTTAGAGCCTAGATGACCTACATTTGATACTATAGTATTCTCTTGAGAAATCTACATTTCTGCCTTTCATGCCTTGACGTTAGACAATGGCACTGGAAAAGGCGTGATTTACGTTTTCGAACTCCTTAAAAATTACATTCTTGATTCAAACAAAAAAAATATATAATAAACGTGTAGAGACTTTCGATAATAAGCCATTATTGTTATATTAAATATCAATAAACATCATCATCACACACAGGCTCTTAGTTTAATGCGTGTTATTACAACGTACTCGCACTATTTTTATCCAATAATAAATTACTTTGGCTAAAAGCAATTCCGAGGACGAGAAAATAATTTTACAGGACATTTGTTTTATCCATACATGTATGTACGAGTGGAAGGATTTCTCGGAAAATTGTCGAAGAAAAACAAGACAAATATGTAACATTGATCTATGTTAGAAATTTCTACACGATTTACTGCGGCGTATCCGCAAAAGAACTACATATTGAGAGACACTAAATAAAGCAGCTAAGCTGTAAAATATCTTTTTCACCTCATTGGCTCGGAAAGGCTTTCTTTCTCATTCGAAATCTGCTCGCAATAGCGTTTTTTGCACGCTAGCGTGAAAAGTTTTTGAAATTCGAACTTGACTATGGACTGCAGTGCGCCTAAGTTTGTCTTTCGATGAAAAAAAAGATAATGACACGTTCAACTACGCGATTTGTCGTACTTTACATATCTATGTAATGTAAATCCGTTGGTACCACTAGTATTTATTTGGTCTGTGGTTGGTATGTTTTATTCTTATTATTGTTGACATTAAATTGACAATGATAACTAATTGTGCTTATTAAATTATTTTAATTCGTCGAAGAACTATGTAAATTAATTTCATTAACACTTAATCACGCAAAATAGAAGCACAAATAAAAATAAAAATTGATGAGGTGTAAATTCAGAACAAAGTCAAAGTCAAAGTCAAAGTCAAAGATGATTTATTCCATAGGTAAAATAAATTTACACTTGAAAACGTCACATTTAAGGTACTGCTCGTTCACTACGCTGACCTCCCTGAGAAGAACGAGCAAGAAACTCTAGGGATTGCTCTTTTCAAATAAACTTAAATGCTATGGAATACATTTTGAATCAAATTTGTGTGGATTCTGGAGCCATGTCGTCTTTCCATACATCTTTATCTAACACGTAGTCTTCAATTTTGTAATATGCTTTTTCGATCAAAATATTTTTAATGTACTTTTTAAACTTAGGAAATGATAAACTTAATATATGCTCCGGAATCTTATTGTAAAAACGTATACAGTTCCCCATAAAAGAGTTGTTTACCTTGGTTAAACGAAATCGTGGTACCATGAGTTTGGACTTAGCTCTAAGGTTAATATTATGGATATCTTCTTTCTTATTGAAATTATGTATATTTTTACGGGCATATAAAATATTTGAGTAAATGTACTGTGATGCCACAGTCATGATACCAGTCTCCTTAAACTTTTCTCTGAGAGATACCCGAGAGCCTAGACGGTACACAGAACGAATCGCTCGTTTTTGCAATACAAATATGGTTTGAATATCTGCCGCTTTACCCCACATGAGAATCCCGTAGGACATTATACTATGGAAGTAACTAAAGTAAACTAGTCTAGCAGTACTAACATCGGTAAGCTCACGTATTCTGCGGACTGCGTATGCAGCGGAGCTTAATCTGCTGGCCAGGGACGATATATGTGGAAACCACTGAAGTTTACTATCTAAGGTCACTCCCAAGAAGACTGCTTTATTAACAAGGTCTAACTTTTCTCCGTTTATTTCTATGCTTGGACTAGTCGATTTTACGTTAGGTAATTCAAATTTAACACATTTTGTCTTCTTGGCATTAAGCAATAAATTATTAGCATTAAACCAATAAACTACCTTAGAGAGGGTATCATTAATACGGTCATGGTTAATGTCATGTCTGTCTGTTTTAAAAATCAAGGATGTGTCATCAGCAAACAACACTATTTCGCAATGGTCCTTAACAAAGAATGGCAGATCATTAATATAAATCAGAAATAAGAAAGGTCCAAGTATTGAGCCCTGCGGAACACCCATTTTTACTGGAGAACCCAAAGAAGTCGCTCCATTTATGCCTACTTTCTGAATTCTACCGTTGAGATATGACGAGACAAGTTTCGACGCCTTGCCATTTACACCGTAATGTTCCAGCTTACTAATAAGAGTATTATGATCAACGCAATCAAATGCCTTTGAGAGGTCACAGAAAACACCAATAGCGTTCTGGGACCTTTCCCAAGCATCAAAGATGTGTTTTAGTAACGCTACCCCCGCATCGCTAGTCGATCTACCACTAGTAAACCCGTATTGTTCACTATGAAAAATATGATTCCTACCG